TGTACCTTTATCATCTTTAATGGGGCTCATATGATACCCCGGGGCTATAAAGGTACCTATACCTGCCATTTCGATGTTTTCGAATCTGAAACAAAGCCGTTATTTTTGCTTACCTGTGTCTGACTCACTATCGAGCCGTCTTTCTAATTTTCGCATCTTTTTCTTCAAGAATCTAATGGTATCTCTTGTATCACGCCTTCGTTTCCCCATTGCACTTTTCACTGAAATAATATGCCAAAATTTCTTTCCTATAGGTCGCGTGCACGAAGACCGACCCTGGAGGCAAAATATCGAAACACAACCTCATTTTTCTGTGAATTATTGAAACACAACCTCACTCTTCTGTGAATTATTGAAACACAACCTCACTTTTTTATTTGGTTACAGAGGAATCAAAAGGTTGGAATATTTTTTCACAATATTTTGGCATACGAATCGTGTTTCTTGCGTTATTCATTAATTCAAGCATGCCTTCGCATTGTGATGTTGTACAATGCACAAGAAATGCAGCAAGAGACTAGGGAATATGATTTTTCAGGTGAATAGTAATCTCACATAGTTATCATTATGAAATGTTGTCATTCCTTATTAAAATTCCTTCTGCCTTCTGCCACTTCTGCAATTCAAGCTAATGTAGATTGAAAATGTCTACAACACACACGATCGTCAGCATGTCAGACCAGTCCTACCGATTGATTGCATGAATCCAATCTTCTTGCATTATTCTAGAAATTTCAGGTATATTTCTATTAGCTGATCCTATTGCAGAAGGAATTCCGATGAGAAATCAGTGAAATAACCAAATTTCAAAAATGAAAACTATGAGAGTGACTATAGTAGGTACTTACTTTTGAATCATAATGTACCATCCGGATTTCTTCATCTTTTGCTGCAGTTTTTGTGCATTTTACAACAGCACAATGTGATGGCATTAGCGAATTGATGAATAGCGGAAAAATACGATTCATATGCCAAAATAATTGTGGAAAACTATTTCGATCACTTGTAAACAAATATGTTTTGCCTCCAGGGTCGGTCATCTGACAGTTCTTGCACGCGACCTATAGGTAACCGGTTGTTTTCTACAACCTAACCTCAACACAACCGTACCGAAGCGTACAAAATAAAGCACTGAGATTGCGGAATGTGGAGCGGGCGCGGGACAGATAAGCCAAACTCGTTTTCTTTAAACATTTGTACCGAACGTACAGGGTAGTGCAACTACAAGTATAATTGTAATCTGAGGATGAGCCTGAAATATAATTATCCCTAACCTATTATAGAATAAGATACATGGACTTCCATTTGAACATCGGAAGTTGATGTAATTTCCAGGATAACCGGAAGATAAGAAAAATCCTAGAATATGAGGAAGTGCCCTCTAGTGAGCATATCCGATGTTTCAAATCTCAGGAATAAAGCTAGAAAAACAAAGGAAAAAAGGAGGGTATGTATACCATGCGAGACAGTGTCACCGGGTATACCGAAGGCAAGATAAGTTGAGAATCACTACGGATTCGAAGGCAGGGCGTTACACAAAAATATAGTTTGAGTACAGTGCGTCACATTTTTTCTGAAAAATTTCCAGATTTGTAAAATAAATGTCGTCACTCTTTTTCATGGAAGCACCCCCGTATCTTAGGTAATCATCGAGGTAGGATTTCGAGATGATCGCCTCAAATGACCCTGTATATCAATAGTATACTGCTGGTATATTCCGTGTTTTATCCCACCTCCCGTATACTTCAGTTTATCATTATTATTATTAGTCATAGATAAATAGTTGTTCGGGAATTGATATGATAGAAAGGTGACGTAACTAATTACTCATTCCGGACCGTTCCGGACGAGGTGGTGTATCATGTCAGTCGTGTGTTACATGTCATCATGTACGGTCAGTCTACTTTTTTTTTTTTTTTTCGGTATGTATACATATATTAATATTTATCTTTACATACGTAGGTATACAGGGTGGCCCATTAGTGCGAGGAAATCCAATATCTTCGTTATCATTGGAGATTCATAAACAAAACTAATATAATTATGTTTCAGGGTGAATAGCACGAGCAGCAAAATGTCAGTGCATCTTCTAATTACGATGCAGAAGAAATACAGAAAACTCAATCTATAAAACAATGCTAGATTAAGAACATTTCTATATTGAGCTGAATATCCCTAGAGCTAAATAAAATGTAGATGAAATTCGAACAAATACAAATTATTTTGAGCTCGACTTATCATAGTCTTTTAATAATGTTTCTTATTCTTACATCAAGCATACCTACCTTTTTTCGCTCTGAGAATGAAGCAATGGTTCACTAATTTGAAGTTTTCTTAGCTTTCCATCAAGTGTGGAAAATTATTCAATATGAATGTAACTTGAGTTATTTTGATTTGATTAATTCTTCGTTCAAGATGAAATTGTAGTTACGATCAATAATTCTTATACTTATGACAAGTATTTATCATCCACAGGAAAACTAAGAATCAATTTGCTGGAAGAATATACTATATTTAATCATATTTGGCTTGCTTTCAATTGGAGTTTTGTTAAGGTTTAGAATAATTATTACTATACTTAGGTTAAGTTCACTATTAATTATTACCAATAAAATGTACAGATCGGTATATGAATAACGTGCATTTCAAACTATAGTCTACTTAAAGTGCTCGTATCAGTTCCAAGCAAGAATCTAGTGCATATCGCGAAATAGTATACAGGAAATTAGATATTTCTGACAATATATAGTTTGAGGCTACTTTCGTTGAGCCTTTCATCGATTTTTTCGTTTATTATTTTTTCAAAAAATTTCCCAAATCCAATATGAGCATGACAAACCAATAGCAAACCAAAAAAAGTTCAATCATGAAATCAATTATGCCATTATTGAAATGCAATGCACATGAATAAAACTTGTATCCAATGAAATGTTACCTCCAAATAGTAAAACGGCTTTCCATAATATCCTTTATTTTTCACATTCATCATATTTGTAAACAAATATTCAAGTTTACCTTTAACCACCTTTACCATCAACTATGGAGTTGGTAAAGGTGGTTAAAGGGAAGGTACACGGATAAAAACAATGAAATAGGATTATCAGCTTCAACCATGACGGGTAATGTGACTGAAATATCGCTTTTGATGTCGTACACTCGTAACACGTAAAAAACAATCAACAGACATCTGATATATCGGATAGGGTTGGACGGGACTGGACCTAACTCGATGACATTAGACAGAAACAGACATAAACTGGACATAAATCGATCAAGATTCAATAATTGTCAAAGTTTTATGAGTGGTAAAAACATGCTTTAAAAGACTCACGAGAGAATGAATGAGTAGGTCGCGTGCACGATGACCGACCCTGGAGGCAAAATATTGGAACACAACCTCACTCCTCTGTGAATCATTGAAACACAACCTCATCCCTTTTTGTGTATGTTTACAGAGGAATCAAAGGATTTAAATAGTTTTTCACATATACAAATCGTGTTTTCAGGTAAATAGTAATCTCACATAGTTTTCATTATGAAATGTAGTCATTCCTTATTAAAATTCCTTCTGCCACTTCTGCAATTGCATTAATTCAGAAATTTCACGAGTATTCCTATTAGGTCCTATTGCAAAAGGAAATTCCGATGCGAAATCAGGGAAATTACCAAAATTTCAAAATGAAAACTGTAAGTATGTGAGTGACTATAGTAGGTACTTACTTTTAAATCATAATGTACCAACTGGATTCCTTCGTCTTCTACTGTGTTTTTGTGCATTGTACAACAGCACAATGTGATGGCATAATGAGAAAAGTGAGGTTGTGTTTCAATGTTGTGCCTCCAGGGTCGGCCATCTGACAGTTCTTGCACGCAACGCACGCAAGCCATTGTATACAACGTTTATGTCTTATTGTATTTACATATCAGGTTGAGATCTGAATCGACCTGTTTCAGAATTACACCTTAATCAATCCGCAATCCGATTAAATCGATAATATATTCCACGTCATTAGGATTACCGACAATTGGACGCGGTCAATTGGACGCACGAAAATTGGACGCGGATAATTGGTCGCGGCGACAATTGGACGCCGTGACAATTGGACGCCGCGACAATTGGACGCGGCGACAATTGAGCGCATGCGAAAATAGAAATGATTCCCCATGAAATTCATTGAATAAAATATACAATACATGGTTCATATCTATAATTATAACAAATACCTAACCTAACCTAACCTACATATTCAATAATAAAAACAGAGGTTTGTCAAAATAAGAAAAATACATGATGTAGACTTTTGATTAAATGATTAACGTTTTTGGTAGTAGGTAGAATATTGTACTATATTCGTATCGTAAATTCATTGCTCGCACAAGTCTTTCGAAGACTTCTGAGGGTTGCTCGTAAGGGGGCAACCGAATGACGGATAGAACAATTTTAGAACAATATAACGATATCAGATAGGAACGTTGTCAAACGAGGCCATAGGTATTTGTTATAATTATAGATATAATCCCTGTATTGCATATTCTATACAATAAATTATTTTTATTTTCTCATGCGTCCAATTGTCGCCACGTCCAATAGTCGCCGCGTCCAATTATCGCCGCGTCCAATTGTCACCGCGTCCAATTGTCGCCGCGTCCAATTAACTGCGACCAATAGTCGTGCGTCCAATTTTCCACGTCCAATTGACGCGACACCACGTCATTATACTGTCAGCAGCAGCAGCCATCATAATCTTTCAAGATACTGCCGCAATATACTATATTCCACGTCATTATACTGTCAGCAGCAGCAGCCATCATAATCTTTCAAGATACTGCCGCAATATACTCGCTATAGTTCAGTGGCAGCAACTCGCAGTCTTCCAATGTCAGCACGAGAATCTGTGTCACTATCAACGTCAACTGTCAATGCCGTCAATCGTGCTATCTGTGAACGTTGTGGTCTGTGATCAAACGTCAAATGTCAAATCTCGGAAGCAATAAATAACAAACAATATGTAGTTAATTTGTTTACATTCTTCTCGTAGACGAATTTCGTTTAAACTACACAAATATAGTGAAACATTTCGGAAAATGACGACTTCGGAACAAATAGGACTGAACAAAACTTGGGAACTTTCCCTTTACGAGTTGCATCGCACCCCACAAGAAGCGATCACTGATAACACAGAGATCGCTGTCTCTCCAAGAAGTCTCCACAGTGAGCTTATGTGCCCAATATGCTTGGATATGCTGAAAAAAACCATGACCACCAAAGAATGCCTGCACAGATTCTGCTCGGAATGCATCATCACAGCGTTGAGATCTGGCAATAAGGAGTGTCCCACTTGTAGAAAGAAACTTGTGTCAAAGAGGTCCTTGAGGCCTGATCCTAATTTTGACTTATTGATATCCAAGATATATCCCAGTCGGGATGAATATGAAGCTCACCAGGAGCGTGTTTTAGCAAAACTCAATAAAAGCCATTCCAGGGAAGCTCTTGTGCAATCAATCAAAGAGGGAATTAAAATGCAGTCTCAGAATAGGCCCAATAGAGGGAGAAAAACAAATGATCCAAATGTGGCTGATAATCAGGATGAAAATGCTCCTATTGTACCTAATAATGCCAGTGAAAATGTGGTAAGATTATTGTATATTCTGTTTTGTAGCTTATCTTTAATGCTGTGCCAAACATAAGTTCTTGACTCTGGAAATAGTTCCTGAAATCAGCAAACCAGAAACAATGTCCAAACTAATGTAGGCATCTATTCATAGAGATTTTGTGATGATGATGCATTTATTATTATTATTTGGGTAAAAGTAGAGTCCCTGTATGTATAATTCCCTGTATATATTTGTCAGTTTTGTTGTAATATTACAGCAAAAGTGTCAAATACATACAGGGACTCTAGGTAAAAGTGCACTTATCATGCAATGAGGTTTTTTCGAAAAATTTTTTTGGTACTTGCCTATTTTCATCTAAAAAACACGAATTTCATAATGAAAATGTGAACAAACCACTATTTATGGAGATATTTCAAGAAAAAGTTCAAAATTTTGCCTTCTTTTCCCCCTTGTGTTGGATGCATTTAAAGGTACTTGCTCTTATTATTTTGTCATTGGACACTTTATATACTCATGATGTACTTCACTGACACATTTTAAGATAAAAAATTCAACAGGAAATATGATTTTTATGGTGAGTTTTTCCTATTTAGTGAGCAAGCATACCAGATAACGGCCATTGAATCCATATGCAATTCAAATACCAGATGTCAAATGTCAATAGATTGCTTTGGAATGACATTACACAGGCCTGCCATTATTTCAAATGATATTCTTCCTTCTTTTCACTAAACATGGATAAATCACAAGAAAATCATATTTCTAGTTGACTCATATAATAAAAAAAATGTGTCCAACATTGTGTGATATATATAAATTGTCCAATGATGGAAAAAGAAGGGCAAATTGTTCTAAATGTGATCCAGAAGACAGGCGGAAAAGATGGTGAAATTTGTAACTTTATAGTGAAATATCTTAATAAATAATGGAAGTACCAAAAAAAATTTTCGAAAAAAAAAACCATCACATGATAAGTGCACTTTTACCATTATTTGTCCTTCATCTCAATTTTTCAACTATAAGAATTCATTTGAATATACTGCAAATTAATAAAGAAGTTATGGACTGGGTTATAAATATATTGCTCACTTTTTTGTTTACTTTATTATTGTATTGATAATTTAGCAATAGCAAGTTTAAGTGTGTACTTGTAGTATTTTGGTAGGTACTTATACATCTACTGGTTTCAATCCCAGTCACCATTGATAAATCAATCTTTTCAAGTGATTAAACCTCTCAAAGTATTTATCAACCATTTTGAATAATTTTTTTATTATTTCAGGACATTTCTGTTTTCATTCAAAAAATTGTTGCATACATATCTCTATATCCTGGTGAAAATTGTTTTCTTTTTATTGAACATTTGCTAACTGTGAAATCCTTATTGGCTCAATGTAAGAAAACCTAACCCTAAATGCTTAGGTGAAATGTTGAAGAATAACTACAAAGAGCTCGCCAAGGAGTTACTTTGACACTTATATTTCTTCACCATATTTGGAGCTACAACTTTGACATGTTGAATCAAATCATCAAAGCACAAACATCAAATACCTAAACTGGGGGAATCAAAAGTACACAAAATACATGATATTTGTAAATAGTCAAGGTATTCAAGACAAGTAATGGAAGATTACTTGAACATCCTATTTTTGAGATAATGAACATATTTGAGGTACTAAAAAGTATTCGAAATAATCAAGAAAGAGACAAATTAATGAAAGAGTAATGAAGAATTTTTGAAAAGACTGAATACAGGCATTCTCAAGTGTTTGAAAATTAACTGCAAGATATTGAAAAATCTTTCAGAATACTGAGCAAGAAAATTGAAATAATGAAATTCATCTACACATCTTATAAATCAAGAAAAGTGGACTAATTATTTTTATTTCTTAAATAGAATCATCACTCAAATACCATTCAATTTTATGGTTCTTAAGATTTTTTTGGTTAGAAATTTACCGCCAGTAAATGTGATTGGAAACTTCAGGAATATTAGTTTTTCTCAAATTCTCAATTCAGTTCCTATTGGTAATATTCCTAATTAGCGAAAAAAATTATTGCTTATAATAAATTTGTGAAAACAATAAATATATTAATTGACACAGAGGATATTGAATCCATTCTCCGATTCAAAACAACACGGCGCACGACTTGGGGGCGTGGTCTTGTCTGTTCTTAGCATTCAGCCGAGCATTCAGCACAATGTTGCCAAGTCACATTTACGTGATATTTTGTTATGAAGAATAAGAAATATATGGACATTCATGAGAAGTGTTGCAAAAATGTTGAACAGTATGATGCAAATGAAAGAAATAAATTTATTTGTAGCCAAACTGTCCATTTTTGAGAAATATTCTGAAACAGGTCGATATTTATTTCCATTTTTCCACATTCATAATGTTGATCCATGTTTGAGCTCTGACGTCCACCACAATTTTATCAAATTGATATACAGGCCGATTCACGGTGAATGGTACATTAGACGTTTCTAGAGAACACAACGTTGGATTATTTTGAACATTTGTTTTATGGATTTTCTCCAATCAGAATGCTAAGCTTGTATCTCCTTGTATATTCATTGAACTGATGAGACCTGTAATCAATGCACACTCCTTATTAGTTGACGGCCTCCCAAATTTCAGAGTATAACCTCTCAAGGATTTTGAAATATTCAATAAAATCTGAAAAGAAATTCAATTCATCACACTCTCATGGCCTAATGGTGCAGTTTGGTATAAAGGTAAGTTGATCCCAATCGACCTATTTTGAACTTTAATTCACCCTGTTGAATTTAATGTACGTTGTTCTGGGACACCCTGTATATACCATATATTATGGGTTGCGTGCAAGAACTGTCAGATGACCGACCCTGGAGGCACAACATTGAAACACAACCTCACTTTTCTAATTTGTTTACAAGTGATTGCAATAGTTTTTCACAATTATTTTGGCATACGAATCGTATATTTCGGCTATTCATTAATGGGCGTGTACACCTTAGTAGAACTTTTTACTCAAACCATGTTTATAATGATCCTTTTATACATAAATAATGATTGACGACATAATTCGATCTGAACTGAACTGGAATGTTTTATTTTTGGACATAAATAAAAGTACCTTCTGAAAACGGACCCTCTTATGACGTAGAAACCTCATCTCGCCATAGTTAAAAGAAAATACCAAACGCTCGACGGAGACTGAGGCAACTGATTTATTAATCCTTTCAACTGTGATCTCGCGCTAATTCACTCAGTCAGAAATCATTGTATCATTCATCTCTGCCTGGAATAGTCTTGTTTCAGTATTAGGGTTCTGACGTCACATATCGCCTCGTTTTCAGTGGTCCCAAAAATCGGGGATTTCAATAATTTTTTATAAAACCTAGGGAGCTCACAGCAAGAAACGGTTTGCGGTGGTGAGCTAGTTTGGGTAAGTTCTATCGAATTATGAAATAATTTTTTTTTGTGATATAAGCCCATTCGCTCATGCCATCACATTGTGCTGTTGTACAATGCACAAAAACTGTAGCGGAAGACGAAGGAATCCGATTGGTACATTATGATTTAAAAGTAAATACCTACTATAGTCACTCCCATGAAATTTGTCAATTCCTCTGACTTCTCATCGGAATTCATTCTGCAATAGGAGCTAATAGTTAATACTCGTGAAATTTCTAAAATAATGCAAGAAGATTGGATTCATGCAATCAAACTGTAGGACTGGTCTGACATGCTGACAAAATAAGATCTTGTTCTTGTAGACATTTTCAATCTATTAGCAGTATCAGCTTGTATTGCAGAAGTGTCAGAAGGAATTTCAATAAGGAATGACAACATTTCATAATGAAAACTATGTGAGATTACTATATTTACCTGAAAAATCATATTCCTTCGTCTCTCGCTGCATTGTACAACAGCACAATGCGAAGGCATGCTTGAATTAATGGATAGCGCAAAAAACACGATTCGTATGATAAAATATTGTGAACAACTATTTCAATCCTCTATTCGCGAGATTCACGAAGTGGGCGAAATCTAGGTTACATAATACGAACTTCAAACTGGGGAAAAACAAACTGTTGTCTATGGATAAAGTGCATAGACTACATGTTGTGTTGTGTTGGCAATGTTGGTAGTGATGATGGTTGAGTTGGTTAATTTTTTTACATCATTATATTTTTATTAGTTTAGTGAACAGTGAACGGGTGAAGAATTGGAGATAGTTCAAACAATTCAATCTAATTATGACGAGCAAATCAATTGACATATAAAAGAACAGCTACAACATGTTTACAATATCCAGATTGTCCTGCTTTACATGAACAAATACAAATCCATTGTTCTACAGGAGTTCCTCTGGACCCCAACTTCAATTTTACTTCATGTGGGAAAGATTTCATCACCGAAGTTTGTAGACAAAGTGCAAACATGTGCCTTTTGTTGAAGTCTTCTGCCTCACACAAAATCACATGATTAGCACAGAGAACTGCTTCTCCTTCCGCTGGTCGGCTTTTTCCATCTGAATGGAGCAAAATATCTGCCAAAACAACATCTACAACAGGCATTATTAGCGTTTACGATCGAATATTTACAATTAATGTCAAGAAATTCGAAAACTTATCACTCTCATCAGTACAGGTACACAAGCTTATGGCACTAATAGGATTGAGTGAGGACTGAGTTTGTTTTCCCCTTGTTTTGACGTGGCTTTAACATGGAACGATGGATGAAAACCGAGCGCCACCTGGTAACATTGATTCCCGCGAATAAACAAATAAAAAAGTGATGTTGTGTTTCAATAATTCACAGAAGAGTGAGGTTGTGTTTGAATATTTTGCCTCCAGGGTTGATCATTGTGCACGCGACCTATGCATTCCATGCTTTGCAAATAATATTTATATATCTTCGACGATAAAGTACACTTGCGATTAGATTTGAGTTGATACTACAAAGTACATGCAACCTTTTTCTGGAAAAGTAATTTTTTATGTGATTTGCCCTTCTTGACTCAGCCACCCGTGCAACTCAACCCCGTGATTCAAATTACTCAAGAATGACTGAAGCTAGCCCGGATTTGTCAATAGATTCTGATTCAACATTCAATTTGCTACAACTTTGCTAATTTAACCGTTTCTCTATCTCTCATAGTTACTGAGATCCCAATGGTGAGGATCGAATTTGGGACACACTGTATTTGTTACTATGCATTCCATATTTTGTAAATAATATCTATACACTGTGTCTAAGATAAGGAGGGCCAGTATGGGGATATTCTAAACTATAAGAGATACTTCTTTTTCAACGCCTACTTTTTATGTCGATAGCAATGAACACTCATTTATAAAATTCTTGTAACGGTTCAAGAAATAATCTTGCAAATTCAAGTTGATGTGCTGTGGGATACAATTATTTTTCATCAGTTAATTAGAAATGGTTTTATGACAGTACCTGAAGTAAGAAAATCAAGAAACAATGTGCCCTCAACTACGACAGTTTTAAAAGCTCATGGAGACAGTTTCGAATCTCTAAACATTCCCTGATAATGGTCAAAACTGACTCAAAACGCAATCAAAACATAATGTGTAGTACATCGTTGAATTCACGATGAAAAGTGCTTCTCAAATTTGACATTACGATATCAGGACCGTATTTGAAAAAATGAAGTTGATGATGGTTGCGCGAAGACGAAACGTTTGATAGCGAAATTGATGATGCCATATTGGAATTCACCAAAAGTTGCTGTGAAGATGTTGCAACAGATTTGTTCCAACCAGCTATGCAGAATCTGATCAGGCCATCTTGAGTTTCACAAAAAAGTGGCACAGGACCGCGAAAACCGCAAGGTTGTATCTCGAGAAATTACTGCATATAAATGCATATAAATTCAAAATATATTGATGTAATCAAGTACTGATATATGTGATTCAGTCACTATATGTTTAAGAAATCCATTGTCCCTTTTTATTGTGAGATAGAGGTTAAGTTAGAATAGCGTGAGCTAGACTTCGCCTCTCAACATTTTACTTGTATTGTAATATGTACATTGCAAAACACAATGAAGGCAATTTATTATTATTATTATTATTATTATTATTGAAACTGGACACACTGTACACTGTTGATGTGATTTGCTCTTTTTGACTCAGCCACCCGTGCAACTCAACCCCGTTGCCCCCCAAGCGGCTGCCCCTGCCGCGCCCACCCCGCCGCCGCTGGCCACGCCCGCCCCTACCTTAGGGGCGGTCCCGGTCCCGCCCCCCGGCCACGCCCACCCGCCCAGTCCGTCTCCGTCTGGGCGCAGCACGCCCTCGCAGCCGCCCAGTCCGGTGTCGTCCAGCGTCAGCTCTGTTGCCAAGTCGTTCGGCAAACGGCCCAAAAGGTAAGGAGGCAAGAGAAGGATTCATATTTCGAGATAAATGAACGAATGAAAAATGACGATATTTTTGAAAAAAATCAGATTTTTCTAATTTTTTCATGTAATTTGACAGTTTCAGAAACTGATGGGAGTTTTGAAACGTCTCAGTTCACGTAACCAGTTGCGTGATACTCGGGATAGTATATTAATATGTAACAAGTATTAAAAATATCCTTTTAGTAAGGAGCATTATAACCTATAAGCGCCGGAATAATTATTTTGATCCTTTTTTCTGATATTTTATTGCCATTAACTAGTGTGAATTTCATTATTCGCTAGAAACATAACCTCACCATGTGTTTACAAGTTTCTATTCATCAGTGCCGGTTTAAGATAATTTCAGGTCCTGGACGCAAAAGTTTTACGGGCCCCCGTGGCACTGGCGGATCTAGGGGGTGAGCTCTTTGATCTGGGAGGTGCACATTCTTTGGTCATTCATTCAACAAATGAAACAGAATCTCAATTCATGATATTTATTGCAAAAATGTGTGAAAATAAAAGAGTATTCTTATATTTACAATGTGTGAAAATTGAAATAACATTCTGAAAAATAAAATAAAAAAACATTCTGATATGAAAAACAAAAATTATAACATTCCCTTTCTCCAGTGCCTCATTTTCTATATATGATAGTGACATCGCATCAAGGTTTTCTTGAATCAAATTAGACCTCAAGTATGTTTTTATTTTTTTAAGAGCTGAAAAAGATCGTTCATCAGATGCATTAGTAATGGGTATCGTTTAGTAAATTTGTAATAGAGTCAAAATATTCGGGAATGTAGCTTTAACCTTCTGGACAACCTCAAATTTTTCAGGAAGCTTGTTTTTGTTCAAGTTTTTGCACAGTTCTTGTAAATGAATGATTTCTTTTTGTAAATATTTCTTGGTTTCGTCGATATCGTACTTATATTTCTCACATAAAATGTCGATTGATATTTCGAATTCCTCTTTATCTATGGTGAAGAAACATTTGATCGCTGATGTCACTTCTTCGTAACATTTTATTCTTTTCTGAAGGTCTTGGGTAATATTGTCGCATATAACATTAAATACGTCAATTCTAAATCTCTCTTTCGCTTTTAAAATGTTTTAATTTTTATCTCTTTTACCAAAAAATACGTTCCTCGTCTTTGCTCTTGTGAGTTCATCTTTATAATTTATATTTGTGCTATCCTCGCCTTCATAGAAATAAACTTTCGTTTCTAACTCAATTTCGTTGAACTGTTCTCTTGTTTCTGAAACAAATGTCAAGAGATACGTCATCAGTTCCACTCCAAATGATATACGCCCAGGTCTATGGTTTTTATCAAAGTAATACCTACATGGCCACGCTGAGAGGAAGATTATTTTCGCAAAATAATTAACAATTTTTCATTTTAAAACTTCAAAGAATTTTTATCTTCGAATTCTCGATGAGCCGGGCCCATCTGAGACCCGGGTCCATGGGCGCCCGCCCAAAGCGCCCAGTGCATAAACCGGCACTGCTATTCAGATGTAGACGTAATTTGAAACAGAAATACTTTGTAAGATATCAGCACTTGCGGATTTATCCCATGTAGCACGAGATTCACAATATACTAAAGTACTGTCACCCAGGGGACCGATGCATGACGCGGTAAATTTGAATTTATCACCTGTTTTTTCAACGTTCTTATTCCCACCACGTCCCCTACTTACATTACATTTTGAACGCTATTCTGCATGGCTATGTCTAATATCCAAGTGATTGGGGGCCAGTACGAATTCCTATGCGGTAATACTAATGTTTTGATCCATCTGATCGGTTATACACATAGTACTACTTGATATCCTCCAAAATAGGCGTTGTTATCGCCTGGTTTCTTCTGGCAACTGCTAATTGACTTCGTCGTTTCCCGCTCACTCATCTAATTATTTGACCCATCACATATTAGTATGGAAGTATTAACAAAATTCCGAAGAGAAGATTGTCCGGCCAATGGTTATTGGCTCGGCCGGAGAGTCACCACATTCGCTGAGTATAAGCACCTAGCGTTGCCAGAGGGCAACACGAATATTTAATGCCAATATTTCACACAAAAAACATTCCTGCATGGAACCAGCTTACTCACATCATAACGAGATCGTTATCTACCATTTTCGTTCATTTTATCAACTATTGTGGTAATAACTTTGAGTTTCTCTATTTCAGTGAATTAATAATAGGCGAGAACACAATAGCACGAATTCAGTTCAAATGTGCATAATAAATAAATATAACATTGAAATAATGTGTACCAGTAGTTTTTTCAACAATAAATGTTGTCATTATCCAAAGAACGCGTTTGCAAAACCATACAAATTTGTGGACCATTCAAAAAACTAATAATGGCGGATACGTGATGACGTAACAAGTATTGGCGTGCATTTGGCAACGCTGTACTGTACAGTCGTCTTCAGAGATCATGTCGCGGTTGGACGGTGTCAGCGATCTTATTGCAGGAGTCATTAAGAATGTTACCATCGTCCATGTGCGACATGTTTTCTGAAGATGACTGTACCTTCAAAATATTCTAACATATTTCCTAACCTAAGAAACCGAACTCCTAAACATCAAAACATCGGAGTTTTTCTGTGATTTTTCATTTGCTTGATATTTTCTTGTGTAATCAAAATATTCAAATCATTGTGACTATTATTGTGACATAGTCTGATGGTTCATGTTTATTAATTGGAGATATGAAGCCAGTATTCGAAAAAGCAATCACAATCTTCCAGTAGTTAATTCAACTATGGTTTTTGAATTCTGCAAGTTCAAATAACTGGCATGAGCTGTTTCATAAAGGTGAAGATTAGTCCAGAACATGAAGTTCGTCCTAAACCATAAAGAGTCGAGGCTGAGGTTCATGAAGCTGAAGAAACTGTAGTCTGGATTGTGCAGTTTCAAAAGGTAGAAGGTACATAAATCCTTGACTTTTTTATAAACTGTATTCTTTTATATTCTTAGGTAGATGTAAACACAGTGTGGCTTTCTTATTATGGTTACATGGAAGATCAGAAGAACCCTCTGTACCTTCTATGGAGTGTTACTGAAAAGTGTCCAACTCAGTGTCCGAACTACAAAATTTTTGAGCTTCCTATCAACATTCATGCCACTTGTAGAATTAGCACCAAAACAAGTTCCTACCCTCCCAGTGGTTCCATCAAAATTTCTTGAAGTAGTTTTTCAAGTAGATGGAAAACATGGATGCCAAGGATAACTGTTTTTGAAAGAGTTTGATTCTGTTCTGATTCATAAGCTAATTATTTTGTCCAGAAAACATTCATCCAATTTGTCTCCTAGGGGATTCCAAGACTTCATTCATCAGAATATCAGTGACAGTGATTGTGAATTGGTGCAAGATATAAAAGTGAATCAAAACAAATCATCATTATCAGCATGGTTTGAAGTTTGCTATGGAAGAATTACTGCTTCAAAGCTATGAGGCACAAAGTGCAAGACATTCGAAGGTACATTAGATGAGCAGGAGAATTTTGAGAATAATGGTAGTTTTCAGTTACTTGAAGTGTCATATGACCCTATATTCCTTTAGAAAATTATAAAAGATGCTGAAAATTTTTGGCAAACTGTTAATTCCACCCATTTAATAAAATTATAAAATATCAGTACTACAGTACTTTTTTCTTCTCTTATTTCAAAATTGGACTTATTTAGAGCTCACCAGTGTCTTATAAATAACATATTTCATCATACACAACTTCAAAATCCCTTCTCATATTGATCATACACTATACCTTCACAAACTGGAGATGGTAGGTATATGAAATTCATGTTTATTTCTTGTGGAACAACCTAGTTCATTCATATTTTATTGTCAGTGGAATATTGGTAAGAAAGACCAATACCTATCATTACACCAAAAAAGTAATGAAAGTAGTAAAAAAAAAATCCAGTAAGTATAAACCAAGAGAGCACTGGCATATCCAGAAATGCTGGAAGATGCAACATCAATTCTCAATGCAAAAAAAAATTATACAAGCCAAAATTACTAGATAGGTATTGTCACTATTTCATGTAGGGAAAATTTGTCAAAAATGTAAGCAAATAGGTAGTACACAGAAATTATCAAATGCCCCCATCTTCAAAATGAAGCAAGAATGCTCAAGAATGTTGGTGGAAATTTTCATTTATTGTCCACTTCATGCAGTAGATATAATTAGAACAGTTAAATATTAATAGACCTCCTAATAGGTATATTTCATTTCTAGAATGAATAATATAGATGTCCAGATCATCACAAAGTTTTCAAGAAAACAAATAAACTTAATCATGATGGTAAAAATCACAAACATATTTGTAGATCAATCAGCAACAGTCCTGAGTCATTTTATCACAATATGTTATGGAACTGTCAATTTGGTTCTGGTTCATAGTATTTGATGTCAGTCTCTTCCATGACAGGTTCCTTTTCAGGTTCTTCAAAAAAACTTTCTTCAACTATAGGTACTTCCAAGAATTTTCCTCAAGGAGAGTCAATATGATTTGAGGAAAGTTCCATTTTATCTCATCTCCCAAATTCTCAAGGGATTATTGAGATCTCCTTTTCCGTGCCGAAGATGAAAGTTAGGATTTTGATGGGTGTTTTCTCAGTTTTGGACGTTTAATGAATATGGAATCACATCTTCAGGCATATGAACTCTAGATCCAATGAGTTTTAATTCCACCCAGTTCAACATGTCATATTCAAGCTAGAACAAAATGAGTATGATCAATCCATATTGAAGAAAAAATTCTACTCACATCAAAACGATCCTCACAGCAAAATATATCATTTGATTCCAGGTATGGGTTATCCCTCGGTTTATCCATATACTTTGTTCCAAGTTTGTGGCATTTCCTTACAGCCACTGCCATCCCAGAAATGTGAATCAACGTTGATGAGAAAAAATAAATAATTCGATGGCACGAATAAAAATAAGAAAAATAATATTGGCCGACAGAAACAAATAAACAATAAAATAAAATAACAACTGACAGTAGTGACAGATGAACGAATTGTCAACTGTCCACACAGTCAACAGTCCAGAAGATATCAAGCGACGTTGCCGGATCACCGTCTAATACTTGTCACGTCACATTAACGCGCGATATTCCAGCTCGTTTGAACGGGATCAATACTTTGCAAATTTTTTGTGGAAAAACTACTTCGAATAAAAATCTGAAAAAAGTACCTGAGACTTTTATCGTCATACTAAAGGCCATGGTATTTTTTCCAGAAATTCGTGTTCTCGCCTATTGGTCGAAAATAAATCAATGAAATTTGTCTTTCCAGCGTACTGACATCCGAGAGGAGCGAAGAGAGCGAATCCAGCGAAAGGACGGAGCAAACTGATACCGAGGGAGAGGGAAATTCGGAGCCGAGGACTTTGAACGAAATCGAATTGGTCTTCAAGCCCCATCCGACCGAAATGTCGGGCGAGGAGGTGAAAGCTCTCAAAGAAAATTCGATAAGGTTGGTAACACTTGATTCATTCTCATTGATCCTTCAACATTTTATATTCTAAATTTCATGCGAAAATAGTTATTTGTGTACCAAGGACGAAAAACTGTATTATGTAGTTGAGCCTGCAAATTTTCGTTATCCTACTTCCTTTCTTTCTTTTGGTAACTGAATAATGTAGCAGGGGACAGCTTATGAAGTAATGCCCCTTCATAGCTTTTGTGTTTTTTCCGATTTTTCATTCCTTGATTAGTAGGTTGAATGTATTTTTTTGTACAGATCGACAAAAAAGAATAATATATTGTTTTGCGCGTGACGAGTGTAAGATTTATTGTCCGATTGCCTGAAATGGCTCATACAGACGGTTTCCCAGGTCTAAGATCAATCAATCAATCAAAATATGCTTTATCATCAAAGAATAATATCTTGTTGACAAAGCGTGTATTCATAAATGTAAATTGAATTGATAACATTTGATAAATGTATAAAAATAGTCAGTACCATAAAAAATTGAATTCAATCAAAACAAATTCAGGGTTGCCTAATTTGACACTTTTAAAGGGAAAGCCCTGTTCTAGAATAAGATAGATAAACTGATGTTGGTGGCTGAGGGTCAATGCGCATGACGAACTCAATGGTGAAAACCGCATATCGATATTTGTCTTCGGTTTAGAGTTACAAGGTTTTGTTCGAAAATGTGCATTTTGGAAGATGGCTACAAATGATTTTTTAGGCAAATGTTTTCTGTTTTCATGAAAACATTTCCGAATCATTGAGTTTGTGATTGAAATTGATCCCCAGGCAATGAAATCGGTCTTCTTATATCTAGAATTTGCGCTAAAAAATTAGTTTTAGACACTTTTCACACCCTGTACACATATGAGAGATTTCAGGGTCGAGGGTTACGAATTTGAAAATTCAAAGCGGTGCCTTTCAGATTTGCGAATTATTTTATTATTTTCCTCTCGTTTTGACTGAATATTTATATCTGATCATTTTTATTTATCCAGAAGAGAATTTCTAGTAAAACTTAGTAGTGCATTATACACAGTTTATATAATATAATTTGTTGAGGAATAAAACACTCTTCTTGTCACTCGTTTATTAAACACTCGCTCCGCTCTGTTCCGCTCGTGCTCAAAATACTCGTCACTAAAAGGACATTTATAACACTTTTTTTTCATAATATACTATTTTTCATTCAGATACATTAAAACCACGGCCAATGCGACCGTTGACCACCTCCACAAGTACCTCGCGATGCGCCTCACCTTGGACCTCGTCGATTCGCAACTGTCTTCGACTCACAGCCTGCTCAACTTTTGCATCTACATATCGCCAATGGCGGGACAGTATGTCCAGCTCAACGGTAACCAAACTCTGGGACAAGTGAGTGTTTTTTAATGCTACTATAAATGGTTATTTGTTGTGTATTTATCCGTTTACAGGGTGTTCTCAACGGTAAAGATTTTTTGAACATTCAGCGGACGCGCTGTCGTAAAATTTACGACAAATACGCCCAAATCTATCTATCACTCACAAAAGCATCGAACGTAAATACTGAAAAGACTCAGCTATTGTCTTCCTAAACATTTATTGAGATCAGTATACTATGCCTTAATTCATTGTCATCTGCAATATCTAACCCCAATTTGGTATCCAACATGTGAAAGAATCATAAAATCTCTCAAAATATTGCATCAAGAACATTTATTCACTACCTTTCAGATACAGTACAGTTGATCTTTATAAAAATTGTAATATTCTGAATCTAGCAATTATTTTCGCTAACGTTGGTATAAGAGCAATGGGTCGGTAGTTGTTTGGATCTGATCAATCCCCACCTTATGAATAGGGATAACTAGAGATTGTTTAAGAAAAGCAGGAAATTCTCCACGAATGATATATTTATGAGCATTACATGAATGCTGAATCAGGGAGGTTTTGGAAAACGTTCGCTGAAATTTCATCGGCTCCTGATGCATTCTTCTTTATACTATAAATTAACAAGGTCAGTTCAAAAATGTTGGTATCTCTCGAGGGGATCATGAGTTGCATTAACTTCTTCAGTTATATTCTCAGCCAGTGTGCAAAAGTTAGTGTTAGGGTTCTGCAAGAACTTGAGCAAGTTTTACCCCTGAGTTCATTCATCACCTTCCAGATTTCTTTCGTAGGGTTATCTGCCTTTTCAATTCTGGATCTTCAGTAGATTTCTTTTGCATTTTTTAATGTTATGAATGACAGGCTATCTAGGATATTGGCGTGCGAACTGTATTCACATAAAAACCTCTTTTTTCTGCAACCGACACAAAAGTCGTCCATTTTGATACCAAAATTAGCTTTTAAATTGACGTTTCTATTACTGACACAAAAATAGGTATGTTGCTACGCAACATATTTAGTTCCTAGGAGCTAAAGTTGAATTTTAGTTCCTAGGAGCTAAAGTTCAACTTTAGCTCCTAGGAACTAAAAAGAATGTACTGAACCTTATCAAGAATAAACAACATTGTGACGGTTGGTTATTTGGGTTGAGACGCATACCTGATTTTTTTCCGATTTCAGCAGATTTGGCATTTCATACCCATGCTGGAGATATAAATACACCTTATCATAGTTTAGTATTGGAATTATAAACATCTCAGTTAAGTATTTTTGTTTTGATCAGGGAAGCCTTCAAGATTCAAATACTTGCTTGATCTGTATTTCATTTGTTATTCTCGGGATGGATAACTTGTTTTTGAATAATCACGGCAAGCAATAGTTTTTTTGTCTCAAACAACGATATTGTTCAGCTTCATTAGATTATCAAGTCAAACGCAGTTTAGTATGGAGAGGAATAAATAATCACTATTATCATAGTTGATATGCTCACTAACCTAACATTTTCCACGTCTTGTTCCTAGCACTGGCGCGGTATTTGCCATTAGAGCACCTGGTCCATATACAAATATTCCACTCTGTGGTTGTATTTATATTGAAACTACAATTCGAACATCCTTGAAAACCTGCTGTTAATGCAGGTAGAATATTCTTACCACATGGATTATTTGTCAATATTTGTTGCATTGCATACATATATGGCACGGCATTGGTGGTTACTTCACATGTTTATTTTAGTTAATTGTTTCGGTTGCAGAAAAAATAGCATGTTTCATTCGGATCAAAAGTGACTTTGTTCGACTCGCAAATTTTGCTTTCGCTCGGCTTCGCTAAACGCTCCGCCTCGCAAATGCAAAATTCGCTTGTCAAACAAAGTGTCATTTTTTTTCCTAATAAAACAATCTACTATTAATCAATACTAGGTGTAGCAATAATAGCGTGTTTTTCATCTTTAAATTTGATATAAACCCTGTTTTTAACAGTTTTATTATCAAGTTAGAATTGAAATCAAACTTTAGCCTCATCTTTTTTCTATTACTCCAGAAACACAATTTTATTGAACTCAATTGGCATTATAAGCACATAGCAGGCTTTGGTCTACGGGGACATTTCTTTGACTGATCGCACGGAACTTGTGATGATAAATGGAAGATGGAAGCCTTACAGCTGATAGGTACATATTGGAGATTTTAGAGCCACATTAATAGTGTAAGGATTTTTTTATGCAAGCCTCAGATCGCCCGAGTTGTGAGAAATTATCTAGAGAATGTCGGCATTGCTAGAGTCCCTGTATGTATTTGACACTTTTGCTGTAATAAGAGTACGGACACTATGACAAGCAGTGACAGAAGGCATAACCCTAAAAAATTTGAAATGACATGAACAATTTGGCGGGCACTGACAGTTCATGAACGTACATGACATTAAATTATTTGAAAATTCAGGTTTTCAAAAATTAAAATGTCTAATTGTGTAGTGGAGAATTGCAAAAATGGAAGCGAGTCCTTTCATTTATTCCATTTCCCCCATTCTAACCAACAAGTACATATACCCTTTGTTAAGTATATCGAGAAATACTTTCAACAAATTGATTTACAAACTATGACCCCTTTTCGCCAGTGAGATGAGACGCCACTTCTTTATGAAAATAAAGACAGAGAAAGATATATGGATGTACCCTTCACCGCGGCAGTAGAGGATAGAAGATCCGAAGTGCATGGAAAAGTATATCCATGTCTTTGTTCAAAAGTCATTTTGAGAATTTGGGGTTATGCCTTCCGTCACTGCTTGTCATAGTGTCCGTACTCTTATTACAACAAAACTGACAAATATATACAGGGAATTATACATACAGGGACTCTAGGCATTGCTACCATGGCATGGTCAGCTCGGATCCCGGATTCAAATTCCATTGAGGATCTCTGGGACATTCTTGGGACAAGATTACAAGAGGAATGTAAGTTGAATACTTTGAAAGACGCACGGCAGAGACTGACTCGAATTTGGGAAGACCTGGATCAAAATGACATAAAGGTCTCTTTTGCCAAGAAGTTTTTCTTGCTCGAGGCGGAAATACTCGCTACTTTTTTTTTTTTTTTTTTATTATTTATTTATTTATTTATTTATTTATTTATTGAACAAATAACTTCCAGACAGAATAGGCTCTGGTATAAGGAAGTACATAATTATATACCTATAGGTAAACATAGCATCATTCAAAATATATCAACAACTGTGAGTGAATCTTTTTTGTCCGATTAGGGAGCTAGCGGCGTCAAGATGGAACAAGTTATATTGTCTAGTTTCATGATTATGAATTTCAGAATTCCGTATCAAAATAATATTCGACTTCAATTTTTCATTTATGATATATTATATTTTGAGAGTTTCAATTCTATATATTTCATCTAAAGAATACGTATTTGTTATTTCATACAATTAATTGGTTGGTGTATCAAATGGGAGACGATACAATACTTTTAACGATTTTCTATATAATGTTGATATTTTATTGAAATTATTTTTTGAACAAGATCCCCAAACATTTATTAAATAGTTGATACGACTCAGTTTATGAGAGTAGAGAATCATGTTTACAATTTCAATATCAAGTTTGGGACATCTTCTCAATGCACCAATAATTGGAGATATTTTTTTTGTCAGAACATCAATATGTTTGTCCCACTTCAACCTGTCATCAAACCAAATACCAAGATATTTTATCTGGTCAGTTTGTTTCAAGAGTTCCTTTTTTATTTTAAGGTTGAGGTGAATTTTTTGTTTATTTTTTTGGTGAAAAATCATATATTCTCTTTTGTTAGTATTTATCGATAAAAGGTTAGATTGGAGCCATTTTTCAAATATTTTCAAGTCTTCATTTATCATATTTTCTAAATCTGAAGGATTCTTGCCTTCATATAAAAGTACTGTATCATCTGCATACATGGTATATTCACACGCTAGACCAATTTCACTGATATTTTGAACATAAAGTAAATATAGTATAGGTCCTAAAACAGAGCCTTGTGGGACACCCTTATTGATTAATAGTTTATTTGACACAGAGTTGTTTGATTTTGTATTGATTGTCCTATTTTCAAGATATGAATTCAAAATATTTCTCACTTGTGACTTTGCATTCTGTTTCGTTTTTTCATTATTGTTTAATTTGGATATCAATTTTCCACAAAATCATGTTGAACTATAAAATGGTGTTTCTAGAGTAATAGAAAAGATAATAGAGTGAATCCAAAAAAAATTTTGAAGAAAGATAAGGCTAAAGTGTAATTTCAATTCTAACTTGATATGGTAACTATTACACTGCAGGGTATTACAAATTTCATGAAAAAAAAACACTATAACTGCTGAACCCAATATGTATAAAGAAGAGGTTTTTATGTGAAAACAGTTCATACACCAAGGTTCAGAAGGAGATAACCTGTCATTCAAAACAAAAATTCAAATCGGACAAGTAGTTTGGCGAATATAGATATCAAACTTTTGGCTACTTTTTGGTGGTTTCATTTCTGGGAGAACTGTAGATAGAAGAAAACTGTTGTCGGTGCTTCAGAGTTACATGGTGTTTTTAGAAAATGTGCATTTTTGAAAAACGGTTAAACCTCATTTTAAGAAAATATTCGTTTTCGATGAAAATAATATTTCTCTGGAACTGAATTGGGATTTTTTCCAGGTGAATGACAAATATTGGAAGGTGAACAAACCATTGGAAATGTTCTATTCCTGGAAAAAGACATAGGGAATGCGTAAGGGGCCCAAAAAGGCTCCCTAAAAGGGATCGATGTAAAGTAGAACAATTATTATTGTTCAGGGGCGGAGAATTGTATATCGGAATATTGAAAGTTTTACTGAAAATTCGGACGGAATCATGATTTTTTTCTCATCTCTCAACTCGGAATTAGTTATACAGGGTGGAGCATCAGTTCGTCGGAGCTCGATTTCTCGAGTTTTATGATAACTGGAAACTTGATTCAAAAACGAATGTCAATGAGACAACAAGGTCCGTAACTAAAAATCATTGCCGCATATACATTACATCTGTTATTAAAACATCAAAAGTCCAATTAATAATTCAGTAGACTTATTTTTTCATTGAAAGAATTGATACCAGAATCTAAGCAAACAGAAATAGTTCATATGCTAGTTATTCACAAAGTGAAAAAGAACAAAATTCCCATTTTGCATAATTGTAAATTACTATCCTGGTTTTGTTTTTAATGTTCTATGAATTCATGAGATATTTTGAAAATGGAAATTGTTCCTTTTTTGCTTTGTAAATTACTAGCATATGAATTATTTCTGATGTTTGCTTCAATGCTGGTTTGAATTCTTCCAATGAAAAAACTAGTATACTGATTTATTGATTGGACTTTCGATGTTTCAAGACTGTATATCGATGAAAATGGCCAACCTGGAATGTTCAAAGTTCAATAATTCAAAAATGTTTACGAATATCAATATGGATGTTGAGATAAAAGATGTTCGTGTTTCGATTTTACACCAAATGGCCTAAAAATATATGGGGTGTTTCATTTGAAAAACTCAAGAAAAATCACTTCGAAAAGTTCCGAATTAAAAAATCATTTTCAGCCACCCTGTATAATTTGTGGGCATAAAAATTCTATAGAAATATCACGCATCTTTCCAGCAAATGATATTATGTTTATTCTCTCTTAAGTTTTATAATTGTGATTTTTTCGGCATGGATCTGCAGATGACATTATTTCGACAAAAAAATTAATAACTTCGAAAAGATCGAGATATAGTCAACAGTATTATAGGAGTGGATGAAGATCACAGGGATGCTTCAAAAAATGTGCTAATATATTGGGCATTCCATTTAAAAAAAGTGATCCTGACCCTCTAGATTTTTTCCGGTATATGCGGCAATAATTTCTAGTTATGGACCTTGTTGTCTCATTCACATTCGTTTTTTAATCAAGTTTCTAACTATCATAGAACTCGAGCAGTCGAGCTCCGACTCACTAATGCCCCACCCTGTATATTTATTCAAATTGAGTGTTTGTTAACTTTCATAGTTTGCTTAGAAATATGAGATGATGTTCAAATGAAGTGTTCAGTAGTTACCTAGACTTCGAAACAGAAATAATTATGTAATCATGAAGACAAATTAACTTTGTCTTATTATTCCATGAACTTTATGAAATTTACAAACATATGCTTAAGATATAGTAGGTAGTCATTAGAAGTCAATGTTATAGTGCCTATTTATATTGCAAAATATATGAATGCTAAAACAATGGTTTCTTATTTATTATTTTATATTAATCATTTTTATATATTGGTTTGTTGTTTTTGAGTTACTGCAATTCATGCAGAGGTTTTTTATTGAAAACGGGTATTTCGAAGATGATTTCACTTGACCGTCAAAAAAATTAACTGTGCAGTCAATGTCTGTTATGATTGAGTTGACATGCTAATCCTTATCCTCAACCACTAAACTATACAGAAATCTATATGGAATAGCTCCTTTACCCTCATTTACAACGGACAGGTAGCCGCGCGGACGAAGCGTCAATGTTCTAACCCGCGTTCGCTTGCTGGTCGTATGGGTTCAATTCCCCGCGACTGCAGACATTTTTCTGATGGTCCAAGAATGTGTTTGGGATCACACGTTGAAAGGTAAGACCCCCGTCATTCCTTGCTCGCCCAAGTTTCTCGAAGATTTCTGAGGGTTGCTCGTTAGGGGGCAACTGAATAACCGATGGAACAATTTTAGAACAATTATTTACTTATTCTACTCACATAACTAAAATGGCATTTATCGTAGGGATATGAACCACGCTATATGATCGATTAATCACGGATTGATGATCTCTGATTTATTCAAAAAATTAAACACGTTACCATGGCAACACAATTCCTTGAACACATTACCATGGCAACACAGTTACAGCTTCAGTCGTTTGAGTCTGGTCCGGCCTGTCAATTGTAGGAACTGTCAACTGTCATTTTCGAATTGTGTAGCAATCACGGATTGATAATCTCTGATTCATTCAAGAAATTAAATCCGTTACCATGGCAACACAATTCCTTAAACACGTTACCATGGCAACACAGTTTTTTAAATATAGCTTCAGTCGTTTGAGTCTGGTCCGGCCTGTCAATTGTAGGAACTGTCAACTGGCACTTTCGAATTGTGTTGCAATCAGAGTTATTCAAACAGTTTCTGTTTGTATCAAAAATCTTTATTAAAAATGTATGCGAAATGTAAACGAAAGTGAAATCTAAGAGAATGTTTTAGATAGATAGGGCTTTTTCAGTCTCCAACTGAATTTTGGCACCATGGAAGCTTATACAGGGAGGTTATAAATCAAAACAGTTGATACTTCCAACTTCAACATCCTGTATCTCAAAAACGGAGCAAGTTAGGATACATGTTTATGTGAACTTTATTTGCTAGAATATCCCAAGGAATCACCCCTTGAATTTTTTCGGTGTTACTTAGATACACCCTGATGTATACACTGTATATCTTACATGATAATGAACTATTTTATACCTGAGGTCAAAATAAGCCGATTAAGAGCAATTTACTCCAGTCCGAAATTGTTCTCTTTCCGAGATACAGGGTGGTAATGTTAAAAAATAGTAATCAAGTTTTAAAATGTTTGAACATTTTTTAACGATTTACTTTGAGAATCGGTATCTTGGGATATTTCGGGATGCGAAACCCGAATATATATGGACACCTTTTCACTGTGGACAATCAGAGAGCGCTTATTACCAATGCTCTTGTTATGGACTAGATTGGCCATAATTTTTTTTGCCAGTGTAGTTTTCTCACTTTTCCGTCAAAAGAAATTATGTTCTCAACATTTCTAAGCAAAAAACGTGCACCTGTGAAAATCCGCTGAAATTAGCACTTTTCGAGATATTTTGAATGTTGGATGCCGCACTGTAATATTCAAATTAATTTGAATAAAAAATGTCTGCTGTGATTTTTGTGGATGTAATTTGCTCAGTAAATTTCCAGTTCAGGATGTATTTTTCAAATACTTAATAATAATAATAATGGTTTTTATTATTTTCAAGTAATATTCATTTTATAAACATAAACAAAAAAGGTTTCTGAAAATAGAGGGCGAAGTTAATTTTCTGTAGATTAGCACTACGAAAATGCTCTTCCACTTAACCCTGATATAGTGTGTCAAGGTGAGCTTTGCAGTGTTCAGCCTTTTGATTGATAATAGACAGTTGGAGAAAACTGAGAGGAATGGGATGATTATCTTCACAAATTTTTATTAGTTTTTTTGGGCAGCCGGGTAGAGGAATATCTAGACTTGTGTTTTAAATAGTTCATTTTTAACTTCAGACCTGAAGCAAGGAATGCTGAGGTTCCTCATACTTTCAGGAACGGACTTATACAGGGTGATCCACGGTGGATGGCCTATTAGAAGTATCTGAAGAACGAGAATACAGAACATTCTGAAAGATGGGATGCTTCGATAATTGAACATTCTCTATCCGTCTAAAATATTTTCATTGATACAGTGTTGCCACTCCTATCAGAAACAATTAGCAACTTCGTTATTTCAAATGGAGCACCCTGTATTTCATTGCATTTTTAGATTTTTCCTGAAGAGCTGATTTCATCAATGTATCACACTTGGGGTCTAGCAGGAATGATTACAGATTATAGGGTGTTCAAAATCGAGATTTTTCAATTTCAGGAGTTTTTTGTGTCTAAACTCTTCATTATCGATCAAAACGGCTTACATGTCCCCATATTAACTTTCGATTCAATATCTACTGACATTTAATTGGAACAGATACAGGGTGACCAGAATTCTGAATCTTGAAGCACCCTGTATTTTTTTCAATAAATTTCCAGTAGATAGTGAATCAAAAGTTAAGATAGGGACATGTAAGCCGTTTTGATCAATAATGAATAGTTTCGACACAAAAAAATCCTAAATTTGAAAAATCTCGATTTTGAACACCCTAATCTCTGTAATCATTCCTGCTAGACCCTAAGTGTGATGCATTGATGGAATCAGCTCTTCAGAAAGAATCTAAAAATGCAATAAAATACATCAGGGTGTTCCATTTGAAATAACAAAGTTACTAGATGTTTCTGATAGAAGTGGCAACACTGTATCGATGAAAATATTTTAGACGGATAGAGAATGTTCAATTATCGGAGCATACAAATTTTCAAAATGTTCTGTTTTTTTGTTCCTCAGATACTTCTAATAGGCCATCCACCGTGGATCAGCTTGTACAACTGATAAATCTGGTAAGTGAAGGATCGATCTCCCGAATATTTCAGTTTTGAATTCAGGTGGGGATAATAAACCTTTAAATCGTAGATTTCAGTTATGTAATCTGTCCTGGATGATATTTTGTGGTGCAAATATGTAGGAATTTCAACTGAAACAATTTTGTGGTATAAAGTGACAGCGTGATGAATTCTTCTATTCTGCATACTTAACCATCCAATCTGTGTTAATTTATGTGATATTCTCTGATTTCTTCTCACACCATAATTCAGCCTTGAACAAGAATTATGCAATTTTTGAATTTTGTTATTATATACAGTAGTTGTTGGGTTTGGACCATAGACGGAGTCAACGAAGTTGAAATGTGATAGAACTAATGCTTCACATAGTTTTATTCTGATATCCCGAGAAAAAAAATGCCGTAAATTAGTTTCAGTGAGCTATATGCACGTTGAATCAATTGATTAACATGTTTTTCAAATCTTGAGTCTCGATCTATGAAAATGCCAAGGTCTTTAGCTTCTTCAACTATAGCGATTCGTTCTTTATTAATTTCTATATGAATAGGAAGTCTAGCCTGGTTATACATCGAACCAAATAACATTACTTTAGATTTAGCACAATTTATTAGCGAACAATGTTCAGAAGCTAACTAAATAAACGCCACCAGTTCCCTATTAATAGATTCACGAGCATTATCCGCCAATTGCGGTGGAAAATTATGATAAATCTGTGTGTCATAAGCATATACATACAAATTGATGGTATATATCGAGAAAAGCAGAGGACCCAAAATTGATCCTTGTGGCACCCCTGAGTTCAATGTCATATATGCGGACTGTTTTGATTCAATTTTCATTACGATTGTTCAGATGATTTTTATAAGGCCAACAGCCGTTTCTGAAAAATCTATATACATTTTTTGTTGGGGTGTATACTGGTCATTTCTTTATTATTATTTATTTATTATTTAAACTAGGCATATTCAGACTCAGGTAAGTTGCTTCAAATCGGCTTATTTTGACTTGTGCTGGGATTTTGTACAGACCTTTATCAGCTACAGGTGTTCTTTGAACCTTCGTTTTATAGGTCGCCTAGTTTGGCCTCTATATGTTTCACCACAATCATTACAACAAATTTCGTAAATTCCTGACTTTTCAAATGTGTCCACTTTATCCTTCAGTTTATTGCCTCACCTAACCTGACCCAGACTGAGTATACGCTTTCAAAGCCCAGCAAGTTTCTGAAAAATGCACAATATCATGGAATATAATCATTAACTTAACGAGTAGCAGGTCTATATAGGTATACCTACCTAAACATATTGAAAATATATGTTGCTTAATATCTTCACAATTAATGGGATACGTCGCATTTATGTGACATTGATATATCAGAATGCAAAACATGAATAAGTATAACCAAAATTCATAAAAAAATGATTTATTGGTCTACTACGAAGATACCGACTGAAGTATTTTTTATGTCGTACAACTATTGACATCTCGAAAACGGTAATCACGAACCGTATTCAAAATATACGAGGAAAATCGAAATTACAATTCTTTTTCCCTCATTTCATCTTACTTCCTGTGATGGATGGTTTCCTGTGAAGAATTGCAGTTTTTCAAATATTTCTGTCACAATAATTGTTCCTAAGATACTTATCTGTCAATGCAGTGGCTAGTCCAGAGTAATAATGGTTAGGGTGGAGAGGAGGTATATATGAGTATAAAATGTAATAGTACATTATACACCATGGGACAGAAATGAAAGATTTTTTCCAAGGTGCGATTTTTAGATACTGCTTCTGCAGTGATTCTTAACTTGCTACCAGTGAAAATCTAGACATCTGTATGATGCAGCTTATACTCGCTTCAAAGAAGGGTGTTCCGAAAAGAAAGCGCAGAGCTATGCGGAAAATGTAGTTGGTATAAACTCCCTTGGGAGAAAATAGTAAAGCAAATTTATTTCATCACGTTAACTACAAAAATGTATAAATAGTGACAAG